TAAACTATATCTTATGGTTTACGATTAATTACGATGAAAAGTATATCATATAAAGAACATGATATCCAGATAGAATAATTTTCTTATTTTACTATATTACACAAAACTTTCTTTTTAGAAACAATCGCTTTAAAAATTAATAACCATTTTGTCTATAATTACTTCCGCCACCTCCACTTCCACCATATCCACCGTTCTGACTGTAACCACTGGAGCCACCACCGGAAGGTCCACCGTAACTGTTCTGAGAAAATGCTTTACTACTGTAACTGCCTCCGCCCATACCTACTGAACATACAAAAATTAATTAATATTGTTTGCATAAATGAAAAAAGCAAGAGCAGAGATGAAGGCAAAATGCTTACTATTTTTATTTGAAGCCATATTGCTACTATTTCCATTCCACTTTCCTCGATCACCTCCACTACCATTGGAACGGTCAAATCGACCACCCCGGTCTCCATCGCGACCACCTCTGGAACCTCTGGAACCACCGCCACGGCCGCCGGAACCACGACCGCCACCACCCCCACTACGTCCGCCGTAACGACCTCCTAAGATAATAAATAATCACATTAAGCATACTAAACTGAAAGTAACGACTAAGTACCTAAAATAAAAATGGGATCATACTTTTATAAACGCCTGGATTCTTTGATAATTCGTACAGTTTCGGGTTCACGACTTGCTTCGCTTCCTCGAGAACTTGGATCAAGTCGTTAGCTTTGTGTGCGTTACCCGGAGTGAAAAATGCGTACGCGGTTCCTGTACGCTGCGAACGCCCCGTTCGACCGATCCGGTGTACATAGTCTTCCGAATTCGACGGGTAATCCAAATTTATCACAAACTTAACATCCTCCACATCTGTATAACATCAAAAGTTATAATCATCGAAGACGAAGATTACTCGTGTCTTTGTGGTTCAATTAACTTACAAAGCGAATCGATCGAAGCATTAATAGGTATATCTAATGTAGACAGAGTTAAGCAGCGTTTGTTCGTGAAACATTTGAATGTACGCATTCTATTATTACGAACTTATACAAAGCTCTTAATTCCGTCTACACGAGTATTACACAAAACGAGTTGACCACAAAGAGCAAATTTTAATATTATTTACCTGTGGTTGCCAAAAGCTGGAAACGTAAATACATTTTTGGAAATGTAGAGGAATCAGAGCTCAGATGGTTCTCATGGAATTCTCACTTTATGCGTTAGCGAGCTGTATATTTACTCTTAGTAACTTCACACCCTTCTCTCCCGCACCAAAGTATGGATCTGTGCTGGTCTTTGAAAATTTGGTCCGTGCGTATTACTTCCGTGAGGTTGGGACATTGGAGGAGCACTGTGTGTGCATTTTCCGATCAACCCCACATGCATTCCATTGTACAAAGCACATCACTTGTTTTGCAATGTTGAAGATCTTATAAGCTCTTCTTTGTCCATTCGTTTTGAAAATTCCATTACGCAAATTAATGCTTAATAGACGAAAATTTGGAGATATTATAAGAATCTAACGTTGTCTTTTTTCTTAACTTGATAAAAAGCAATTTAGTAACACTGCAAAACAATATGATGCCGTTTCCTATCGTTCTAATCTAAGAAAGTGAGTAGTAAATCCTGCTCGGAGTAGTCCTTGCACGCTAGATTCCCTAACTCTATAATTTCCATACTTTGGACCGTCGCAGGTACAGAGTGAGAGTGTGGTTTTTTTTCAAGTGGCACGGTGAGCCGAGGCACAGCGTTAGTTTAGCTTGTTGCACGGGGACAGAGACCAGCAGTCACGCCCCATTGAATTATATATTCCAAAGCAAGCTCTCCAGAGTTCTTATCATTGATAAAACTCCGTCGCATGTGCCTCTGAAAACACATAGAACAGCACGTTAATACCAGACTGACAAGACTTTTCTCAATCAGAACAAAATTTAAACAGATGAACTTTCTAGCGTAGAGGCTTACCTGTTCACCTAATCTAATTTCACCGCTGAAATATTTTGACTTACTTTTAATTATAACATCGAAATAAATTATAACGCTATGATCAGAAATAAACGAAGACATTTCTCAGAAATGAATAAAATTTTGATAACGTGGTTCTATAAGAAATTAAAAGTACGTCAAAATCCACCTGAACTGTAAGAAAACTAAACAAATCACAAAATATCTCGTCGATGCCGATGTGCTGAAAAGACGAGAACAACAGCATTATCTTTGTCTTCATAAGCTTCAACAATGTATTACTAAATTTACTATGTGATAAGGTTAATATAAAATAAATTATTGCATCGTAAAGACTATAAAAAATAACTCGATCGGTGATTGCGTTAATCAATTGTTCTCGGACTTCTGTGTTTTTGAAATAATTTTCATCCACACCAAAAAAAGAACTTAACGTCGATCAGTCTGGCACATGCCGTTATCCGTTGCCACATCACGATAATACAACTCTCACAAATATGAAATAACCATCGCAGCCTGACCCTTACATCATACCCACTCATGTGTAAATAGATTCTTACCTAATCCTCTTGCTGCAACGTCTGTAGCTACTAGAATGGCAGATCTGCTATTCCGGAACTCTGAAAGACGGTTCTTTGGTATTGGCAGTACGTAAATACACAAAAAGTAATAAAAAGATCAGCACTCACGATTTAATACGTAATCTCTTTCCTGTTGACTTTTATCCCCATGGATGCCAATTGCTTGCCAGCCGTACCTATTTATCGCGCGCGTTATATCATCTACTTTCCTCTTGGTTTCAACAAATATGATCGTCTTGTTCTCGGGCTCGTTCGAAATTTCTTCCAACAACTTCATGAGCTTACTCTCCTTCTCGTATTCTTCGCATACGTCGACGATTTGGAGAATGTTATGATTAGCAGCTAATTGCAGCGAGCCAATGTTAATTTGTATATAGTCGGTTAAAAATTCTTCAGCCAGATTGCGTACTTCCTTTGGCCATGTTGCCGACCACATAAGGGTCTGTCTGTCAGGCCGGATTTGTTCAACGATCTTTCTAATCTGTGGCTCGAAGCCCATATCGAGCATCCTATCAGCCTCATCTAATACTAAGTACGTGCACCTACGTAAATTTGTTGTGCCACGCTCTAAAAAGTCAATAAGACGTCCAGGTGTTGCTATGCAAATTTCGACTCCTCTTTCAAGATCACGAGCCTGCGGACCTTTCGGAGCTCCACCGAAAATGCAAGTGTTTCTTACTTGCGAGGAAACACCGAAGTCTGACGCGACTTGTTGAATCTGCTGTGCGAGTTCTCTTGTGGGTGCTAGAATGAGAGCTATGGGCCCGTCACTTCTGTTCAATCTCGGTTGGTGATTTATGTGTACAATTGCCGGTAAAATATATGCTAATGTTTTCCCAGATCCAGTCTGAGCGATTCCAACCATGTCACGTCCAGACAAGGCAATTGGCCAACCTTGAGCTTGAATCGCAGTTGGCTCACCAAAACCTTGTCTACGGATTTCGGTTAAAACGTAGTCTGGAAATCCGCCTTCTTCGAAATATATGTTCGGCCCTGGTACATTCGTGCCTTTCACAGTGATTTCCTTGTCTGAACGGTATGCCTCGACTATGTGAGACGTTCGAGTTGTAACATTGGGATGAGGTTGATAAAAATCTTTTCTAAATGGCTGCAGTGTACTCATATCCCATCTGGGCTTGCGTAAACGTTCACCGGGTTGTCGGTTTTTAAAATTACTGTTCCCAAAACTACTGTCTCTGTTAGAGTTACTACCGAATCTTCCTCCAACGCTCGCATCTCGTCCACCGAAGCGACCACCTCCCCTGGCTCCACCACCCCTTCTGTCGCCACGTTCACGATCACGGTAAGCCCTTTAATACAAAATCAGTTTTTATGTAAATCAATAATGCATGAACAGAATCGTTTTAATATTAATCAATGTAATTAGCCACGGAAATAGGAAACACGTGATATAATCATGATGTGTGTATAATTGATCTATGACGTATCAGTTATGTACAAAAATTATTACACATTTTAAAAATGGAATTTTATGTAAGAACACGTGCTATAAATTCATATAAATATAAATTACACGTATATGATTTACTGCAATCAATGAGAAATAATTTTAATGAACGAAGTAATATGAAGTAATTTCGATATTAGTAATTTCTATAGATATTGTATTAATATATACGATTAAAGTTTCGTACGTTGTGAGAACAAAAATTTCGTCGATAGGTATAAAAGCAATATGGAGTAAAGTCACACTAACTCAGGCGACACTAAATGTCAATAAGATGTTCGTAGAAAACTCGAGTTCCCGCATAATGTTAATAGATATTTTATGCTACTTACATTCTTCTAAAGAGGTGCGTCCCAATTAAACAGGAATTAGAGTGATTTTCTTAAGTATACTGGCGTAAAATCAAACAGAATAATGAGAGCGTAACACTCTGTCCGTTACGCGATCCGAAGAGGATCTGTGAAACAAATATCATGGCGTCGTATTCCGCCAAGAAATAGTTCCATTTTAATTTTAATTTTTCAATTTTTACCATATAATCTCTGTGGCCTAAGTAATATTTAATTATATAACAAAAATTATTTATTCGTTTCTTTAATGTTGTATTTGAGCAGTAAATAAAAATCTGCAAGTTTGTAGTTGCCGAATGTTCCGGAAATGATGTCCGGTAGTATAGAAAAGTGAGGGAAGAACAAACTAATGTACATAGACACTTTATAGGTATTTATTTAAACAGAAGTAAATGAAAAAATACTGAAATTAATTTATTGTTTAAGAGTAATGGCAATAAATATGAGATTTACTCAGGTTTACTTCAAATTTTATTATAATTATAACAAATAATAAATTCAGGCCCTTCGATTCTGCCTGTTGCTCTTTTGTGCATGTTAGAAAACAATTAATATTAATTAAACATTAACGACGTGAAACAGAGACCGACTCGAAGCACTTATATTCTAACATTTTAAAGGAACTAACTTAAGTCTACTAATTATATGTGTTAGTGAGACTAACACACGTGTTATATATGTATATGTATATTATACAAATCAATTTGGTACATGTATACGCAATAATAGAAACACAGCATAGGTGCACACCAATCTTCAGAACTGCTGGCGGAGCTCGTCCTCCTAATGCTGACCATGAAAGGATCGACGCGGACGACCGCTGTATTTTTATTACTACATATGCGCAGTTAGCTATATTCAAGAACATCTGTTATTCTTTGTCTAATTATTTATTACTTGTTTCACGAGGAAGTGAATCGTTTCAATTAAAATGAAAGCATTTTTGTTTAAAACATTGTCTGTATGATATGTATAACATAATAAATATGTTTTATTCTCACTTGAAAAATGACTAATCACCTAAACTAATAAGCAACTTTATAAATTTTTTGATTCAACGTAACATTTAAAGTAGACATGAATTAGATAACGAAATGTGTTGATTAATCTTAAGTATTTCTTGTTGAATGAAGTGTAAGCCCGTAACTTTTCAATAATACATACATATTTAACACCTTTCTTTGGTTTCGCTGTGGTTTCCGTTCTTACTATTTTAATAACACAAATGTTTAACTGTATAATCTCTATCAACACTGTTTTAATAGTAAGATCGTATTTTTTTTTAAGAAGAGTAATGCAGTCTTAGTACGTTGTACCCCTATATTGATAAGTACTTCCATAACTGTCCCCTCCTCCATAACTTTGTGCTAAATTATTTTGCCCATAACTTCTTTGCGTGTATCCATATCCTGTATTCTGGTTAATTGAATTGACCTGTTTCATATTGTTATAGCTACCGTAATCTGAACCTGAGTAACTATTTGAAGTCGACTGATAGGAACTCCCACCACCACGACCTCCCGCACCACCTCCTCTTCCTCTCGTAGGACCGCCTCTTCCTCTGGAGTCAATAGTGCTTCTTCTCCCATTATTTCTATCATTACCCATGAATCGTTTGCCAGCTGTTATGCAAGGAATATATTTTAATTATAGAATTCCACTAACCAAATTTATTAAATGGGAACTATTTAAAGACATACTTCGGCTTCCGTAGCTTCCTGACTTGGCTAATTCTGCCATTTCGGTAAGCCGAGGATTTATATTTTGTCCAGCTTCTCTCAACACTTCTATCAAATCCCCTGCATGCTTCATATTGTGGCTTGTAAAGAATGCATAAGCAGTACCGGTTTGTCTTCTTCTTCCAGTACGACCGATTCTGTGTATGTAATCTTCTGACGATGATGGATAATCAAAGTTGATCACGTATTTAACATCGTCCACATCTGTGAAAATAATGTTTGGAGAAGGTAAATATTAATATTCAAGATTATTTGCGTACGATTCGATGACAATCATCACCCCTTTTGTCGGTTATTAGTATTCTCAGAATGATCTTCAAACTTGCGAATGTAAATCCTTTTAATGTTAAAGATATGTAAGACTTTGTGACATTCAATACAATAAACCAAAATCTCCAAGTTTTTGTTTTACTTAAAAAATAAAATCTGCTTATAAATCACGTTTGAAAACCACCCACCTTTCAGTTGGAAATTCCATTTCAAAATCGGCAAGAACAGCCCCATTTATTGCTAAATGTAGAGCTATTCAGTTGGTTTCATAATGTATGATGGCCTAGAGATTAGACAGACACAGCGGTAGTGTCTGGTTTGGGATAAAGGCAGCATTTTAAGGTTTAAGCCTGAATGCAGTAATTTTTATGTTTATAATAAGTTTAATTAGAGGCACTAGAAAACACTTGAGAGTATATCACAGTAGCAAACGAGTGGATTAAAAAAAAAGTAATAAATTTTTGTAAAAAAATACGCAATATTAAACGTGTTTAAATTGCGGTAAATACTTTCATTACAAATGTTTCGAAAATAATAATCATTATTATCATGGCAAAATAAAATTTGCATTAAACTTTCTAATCCCATGTAAAAATTATATTTAAAAAAATATACAATTCCATGGAATAATTTGATTTTAGAAATCTGCTTTTCCAGTATTCTAACATAGTTATCTACATAATATAAGCAAATAAAAATAAAATATTCACTGTGTCTGCCCAATACTGGCAGTACACTGCGTTCACTTAGGGTACTCTGTGCCTCTGAAAAAGAAAAGCAGACAGTCTTAGTGGTAGCGTGTGTGCAGATCTTCAGAACCCTTTATTAAATTTCACATTTTATTAATAATGGAAAATACAAACCTGTAGTAGTACCATAAAATATCAAAATAAGAAAAAAATTGAGTTCTGCTACAAAAAAATTATCAATCACACATTGCTACAAACATAGCTGTCCACTGGTCTTATTAATAACGCATCACTGGCTAATCCAATAAGTGTTGCCAATTCCCATATTCGGCCGATCATTTTAACGTCTAAATTCAGGATTTTAATACATACCTAAGCCTCTGGCAGCTACATCGGTCGCGACTAAGATAGGAGCTCTCCCACTTTTAAATTCTTGCAACACATGGTCTCTCTCTTGTTGATTTTTATCGCCATGAATACTCAACGCTTGCCATCCGTCTCGTCTAATATTCCTTGTGATATCGTCTACCTTTCGTTTAGTTTCAACGAATATAATCGTTTTGTTCTCCTTCTCGTTCCCAATCTCTTGGAGCAGTCTACGCAGCTTCACATCTTTTTCAAATTCTTGACAGACATCCACAATTTGAATGATATTATGATTAGCTGATAAAGTTAACGACCCGATATTAAGGTGCATATAGTCGGATAAAAAGTCTTCGGCTAAAGCACGAACTTCTTTAGGCCACGTGGCTGACCACATTAGAACCTGTCTATCAGGCCGGATTTGTTCAATTATTTTTCTTATTTGAGGCTCAAAACCCATGTCTAGCATTCTGTCAGCTTCGTCCAGCACCAAATAAGTGCATCTAACAAGATGTAGCGTTAAAAACATAATCACAATTATTTAATACAATTGAATATATAAATAGGAACTACCATCGTACCTTCGCAAGTTCGTAGTCCCTCTTTCTAAGAAATCGATAAGCCTGCCTGGTGTAGCGATACATATTTCAACACCTCGTTCCAAGTCATGTGCTTGCGGTCCTTTAGGCGCACCACCAAAGATACAAGTGTTTCTTACACTTGCAGACTCCCCGAAACAATTTGCTACTTCCTGAATTTGTTGAGCTAGCTCTCTCGTAGGAGCTAAGATCAAAGCAATCGGACCATCACCATTGCCAAGGCGAGGCTGGTGCATAATATGTACGATTGCTGGCAAGACATACTGGAATAAAAACACGTATTAGTCGGAGCATACTTATTATATGCGATTTATAGTAATAATAAAAACAAAGACGTCTGTTTATTTGTACAAGTTAAAAATAAATTGCTCTCTATTTTGGCTCACTCCTAATGTTTTTCCAGAGCCAGTTTGGGCAATAGCAACTAAATCTCTGCCGCTAAGTGCGATAGGCCATCCTTGTGCTTGAATCGCTGTAGGTTGAGAGTAGCCTTGCTTCCTTATTTCATCCAATACATAGGGTGGAAAGTTTCCCTCCTCGAAGTATTGTATGGGATTTGGTATATTATCACCTTTTATAGTTATTTCTGCATTATCCCGAAACTGACATACTTCTTCCTTTGATCTAACATGAAATATTGCGTCAAGACTTGTTTAACTTGGAAAAAGGACGATTTACATTTCAATTAATTTTCACCTGCTTCTAACTGTAGGATGCTCAATATAGAAATCTTTACGTAAAGGCTCTAAAGATCTTATGTCCCAATTGATTTTTCTAAGGGCTCCACCAGGTTGTTTATTTTTTATAACGCCTCTAACGTTGTTAGCAGTACCTCGGCCACGTATGCCAAATCGACTAATACTACTTCCACGCATATTGTCACCAATTCCTCTATTATTACCTCTGCTACCACCACCTCTACGACCTCTGCTATGGTCTCTATCACGATTAAACCTGAATATATTATTAATTTATGTAATCAGTAGTCTCACGATTATGAACTACAAACTTTTTTATTTAATTAGAGACTAATACAAAATTGATAATTGTAATTCTGGTTTCAAATCAAATGATTGTAATGAACGGTAATAGATTGAACTGTACGATTATTCTTTTTGATTATTGATTACCATTATCCGCAATACGAAACAGTGGTACATAGAATTGTCACTGAACGTGTATTTAAGCAAAGTATACTAACCCGGAAGAGAATCGCAGAAGAACTTAAAAATAAACGTTTATTACACCATTTTAGGTGAAATTGTTACGTCGTACTTACATTTAGGAACTAGAGATATTCTCGATTAAACGAGCAACAGATTATTCTGCTTTACGGTCTCTTTCGCAAACGCCAATCAATAATTGAGCGGAGCTGAATATTAGGAACAAGTCAATAATTCGTATCTAAAGAATCGTATCGAACTTGGTGAAGGCTTCACGGACACGTTCTTCCTCGGTATTATATAAAAAAATGTAAATGATACACTGCGAATAACATAGAACGGTTATTTTTAAACTCACCGGTAAAATCCGGCAGATCAAATTGACAAGTGAACTTCCGAAAGTAGTTCCCTATAAACTGTTTCCATGACAGCGTTCAGCGTAGTAATACATGAAAAACAAATGCATTAAAACAAAAAGAAGCAGAAGATATATAGAATAGAACGTTAACGATTATTGAAAGTAATATTAAATTATAATTAGAAAAATGAATATTTCTTTTTATTTGAACCAGGATTTCTGGATAATTTCTA